CATTGGCTTAACAAGTCCGAAGAAGTTGGTTCATCAGGACTTGAGTAGAGATAGGGTTTTGGATATAGTACAAATAGCTCCCTACCATATCAAATATGTGTCTATATATATATATATATACTTATATATAGAAATTTGTGCCAAAGGGGATTTGCACAAGTGCTAGTTTTTACGGAGAAAGGAAGAGTAGCAGACAGTGTGTGACGTTTACTTGCTTTGCTTACTGCGGAACATGTGCTTGAACAACAAAGGGAGAGAAAGTGGTGGTGTTCATTAAAGAAAAAGATGGAGATGGGGAAGAAAAGCAGCATAGATCTGAGAGTGCTGAATGGCTTGACTGTAATCTGATAGCAGCTAGCATACGTTTCATACCTTATTCCATATTTTGGCATAAAAAGCAAAAGTATTGATGTTCTGGTCTATGGGAGGCATCATATCTTAGTATCTTCATCTGGCCAGGTAATCTGCATTGCTTCTGAAAATGCTGCATCCTGTTTTTTGAAGTTGGAATGATACTGTGGAGTGTAATAGTCACCTTTTTCCTCCTTCCATGTTTAGAAAAAGGAACTTGTAGGTCTTAGGATAATTCAGGTTGGAGGGGACCTTAGGAATGCCAAAGAACCAAAGAACAAACTTCATATTAGCATCTTGTCGTTTTCTTATGTGTTGAATTTATCTGTTCTTAGAATTTAGACATATAAGGAGAGATTTTTGAGGTAAGAGTTCTCATTCTGTGTAAAATGTAGCCTGGCTCAGAGGCTACATCACAGATGAACAGCCCCCCGCCCCCACTGCTGCCCAATCCTCAAGTATGAAATACAGCAACAGCTTTTGTTTTATGCAGCTGAGGCTCACTGGGTACTGCCTGTCAGCTTAACACTTATTGTGAAACCTAGGCAGGAAGAGCTGCTTCTAGAAATTGTTAAATTATGTGGTGGTTTTAATTCGTTGCAAGAGAAAACCTAGATTTGGTTTTATTTCACCTGGACAGGTGAAAACGTCCATGGAATACTCCATTTTGTTGCCAGAGGGGAAACTGCTTTGAATTAAATAACTAGCTTTGTTTTACTTGCCAGCGTAGAGATTTTGTACCTGGCATAAAGATGCAGGCTACAAGGTAACTTTTCAAAAGTTGCTCGAAGGCTTTACTTAGATGCAGAACTCATATTTTAGAAGCTTGGGACCAACCTATTAAGTGCTTATTTACAAAGCAATTAAGTGCTTATTCACATATATCTCTGAGAGTACCAGAGAGACTCTTGACTAGCTCATGAAAATATTCTGGAGATTTTACAGACAATTAGGTATGCCCTTATCGCACTTCTACTTCAGCTGCTTTCAAGTAGTACACTGTGTTGTGTTAGACATACTTAGCCTTGTCAAAGGCAAACAAGTCAGCTGCCTGTATATGTTGATATAGAAAGTTGTAGTAGGAGTATTATAGCTGTGAAGTGGGAAAACAGTCATAGCTGCATCTACAACTTTTTATCCAGGCAATTTTAAACAAAAATGATACAGTGTGATACTGTGTGAAAAAGATATCTAAAAGACACACAGTGATATTGGTAAAGTACGTCTTTTGTGTAATGAGGAATACAGAGTTTGAGTTTATATGTAATGTTCCAGATAGGATTGCACTGCTCGTTAGTAGTTAAGTAGGGCACGGTAATATGACTAAATTTTGAAGAACACTTTGCCAATGTTGTACTGTATAGCATCACTCTGTTCCTTGTTCTTTCCTCTGGTTTATCCAGTGGGGTGTCTGTCATCTTAGAAAATGAATTAAGATTCCACATTTCAGAACTACTCAAGGTAAAAAGGAGGCTGATCCTCTTATTTAGCCATGAAAAATACATATAAGAGCATCACACTGCCGATTAAAATCATAATTGTAATACAGACATCTGTTTTCTCCCCCTCTACTCCCCCTCCCCTGTCAGGTTGGCCTTCGGCAGCTAGATATGTCATTACTGTGTCAACTGTACTCCCTGTATGAGTCAATTCAAGAATATAAAGGTGCATGCCAAGCTGACTCTAATGCAGACTGCACATATGCTCTGGAAAATGGTTTTTTTGATGAAGAGGAGGAATACTTCTAAGAACAAGAAGATTCTTCTCCAGGCTGATCTGGGTTCTTTTGTCCTTCTCTCCCTGTAATACCCATCGCTAAGAATGACTGGAATCTATATGGATCTCTCTTCTTGTGGAGAACACCCAGCTACTGCAAGTTGTGTTAAATTCTCTTACTTTTTACAGGCTGTCAGTGCAAGTTACGTGTGCAAATAGCACTTGAGGAAAGTGCTGTACTATAACTTTTGAAGAGTCCTCAAACATGTTTGACAAGAGTTTTCAATTTAATTTGCAAGGTGGGTGTTTTCAACTTACAAATGTTGGTAGCTTATAACTGGAATTTTAATCATAGAATACAGCAGTGACTTCCTAAGTTGTAAGAACTTCTTAAGGGGGGAGGGAAGCCTCCACTGTGGTGTAAATAGCTATAGGTGATTTTTGTTTGTTTGTTTGTCAACAGTACTGGTAAATGCTTTTTGAACAGGTATGTGAATGCACTCACATCCTCAGCTCTACTAAGCTAGTTCTGCTCTTATCAGCTGCATCCAGTTTTGTACTGGGTGGATTGTTTACACAATTTTAAATAATTTTTTTTCCTTAAGCTGATTTTGACTTACTTTTCCTTCTTCCGAGCCTAACAGCTCTACATGTGATAGTGAATGTTATCAGCAGCTTTTTTCTGTTGATCTAATTCACTGTCTTGGTACTGCCACTTGGCATTAACTTTTATACTATTGTCTAGATTGCTCGCATAAACATAGTTCCGTGACCTGCTAAAATCTGTTCTAAAATGGTTTGCTTAGCTTTTACTATACTGAATAGTAGAAGCACAGATTCAAACATAGTCTGTCTGCCACTGTGTGGCTTGGAATAACACAAACTCTTGTGCAAGTGTTCTCAATCATATGAAGAATAAGGAAAACCTCTCATATGACAAAGTGGGACAAATTGCAATATTTTATACTGGGTGAACTTTGTTTCTGTAAGGTAGACTACAGCTCTTTTTAAAAATGCAAAATAAGTATTTTGAGCACATACTTTGCATATGTTAAAACTTTTTATACTAACTTGTTCTTTGAAGTATAACTTATTTTTGTTTTCCGAACTTATTAAAGCACTCAGTTAAGTTTTTATTATTTTATAATGTGTCTATGTAATGCTTAATTAGCTTGGAATATATGAGTTGCCAACTGTCTTAGTCTTCACCCTTCTATATTTTAAGTAAAATCAGCTCCCAACACATGACTTTAGTTTCTTAAATTTAATACTAAAGGTTGCTGTAAAGCACAGTGCCTGAATCTCAACACAAGCTAATAATTAAGGGCTTAAATCTCAAAGGGTTTTTGCATGGTTCACATCTGGTACCTATTCAGTTTACAGAAGGAAATGGAGATCAAATTCTGGGGTAGCTCCTCTCTTAATTTTCAGCAAAGGCTTAGATGTTGCAGTGATAAAAAGCAAAGAGTTCCAGGATGGTGTTTTTGTGCATTCCCTTTAAAAAACAGCTTATTTTACTGGAATTTAAGGGCAAAAAGAGTAAAGATTCTGTGCTGTAACTATGTAAGTTCTTAAACTAGTCTGTGACAATGTTTGGACTTTCTCATGTTAAATTCTGATCTAATTTCTTCACTCATCTAAAACTAAAATGAATGATAAAGCAAACACAGATAATCCAAATGGCTATACCTATATTTAAATAAGTTGCCTGTGCTTATGTGTATACATACGTACACAACTGTATGCTTTGACTTACGAATGTATCGGCCTTGAATATAATTTGCTGTGCTTTTGGTATTTATAGGAGGCTTTTTCTAGTCTGTTGAAATACTGCTATTTTCTTGCTCTTTCCCAAAAATAAAAAGCATGATGTTTAGCATACCTTGTTGAAGTCGTGTGCATTTTAATTTCCTGTTTTAATTCATTGAAACAATTAAAAACTAGGACTAGTCATGACCTCTGTATTTGAAGCAAGCAATTGTTAAACTACAGTGGAAAAGATTCTACCTGCCTGTATTTGGAAGAGGAATTTCCTACTTCTGTCTTAAGTGGATTTTACTTATTTTTGAATTAAACAGGAAAAAATCCTGTCTCTGCCAGAATTAAAGATTCTGTTCTACAAATCCTTACACAGTGCCATTCATAATAGTCTCAGTGGTGTCCTCATCAGAATGTACATGTGCAAAATTGAAATAGTTTCTTATAGAAATTAAACTTAAAAAGCAAAATGGTTTACAGCGCTAATTCTGGCATGGCATGCTTGTGCATTGGGGAATTTGGAACGTTTGGCTGGTGTTCTCTGTACTGAGAGATGCATAAAAGTCTCAAGGCATTGCTCCGTGACATCACCTGCACTGAAAATAGGATGAAGTTTTCAGCATCTTGTCCCTTTTTAGACCACCTTCTTGCATAGGAGACAAGTTATGGTCCATATTCCTAACCCTAATTCAAACACAGTGCAGACCGGCAAAGTGGACGGACGTTTTAAAATCAATAAATGTGTTAAGTCAATAAACAGGTATTCCAGAGGCATAAATATTTCTGTATCTGGGGTTTCAGTTGCTTAGCTGTATCTCTTCACCATGTAACACCACAAAGTAGGGAAATACCTTTGAGAGAGATGTGCGTGGTGGGAAAGTACAGCTTCAATACTGAGTAATTGTGACATGCAGCTTCAAGTCAGAGTTTGGTTATGTGCATGATAGAACAAGCTGAGTTGCTACGCAAGCTTGCTGCTCTTAGTCCAAACCACATACCAACAACAAGGCTTTTCCATTTTCCTCTGTAATCCCAATTTCAGTTACGTGCAACCTTTTAAGGATGTAACAAGAGAAACTTTGAAATTTCTTTAGCGTGTATTGCCCTCTGATACCTTCAGGCCTCTCCGTACCAGGAAGCATGAATAAAGCAGGAATCAACACAGCTGACATCTGTTTGTTTTCCAAAACATCTCTACAACTTTTTTATGAGTCGGTTAGCACTAGGTCAGGCTGAGTCCAGGGCTAGTATACTACCCCAGTTCTGAAAAGGGAACCGTTACTTGTTAAATAATGATGAATCGTATCTTGAGAAATACTTACTAAAGGAGTCTAGGACTGACTCATTTTTGTGGCATGAACAAGTCAACTATGAAGTAGTAAGGCTGTGAGGTACCACAGTGATACTGTAGTACCTCGTAGTAAGGCTGCGAGGTAACTCTGAAAAAGGGGAATAAAAAGGTACCTCTTGCTCCTTTAACCTTTCTACTTCTGCACAGCTGTGCATCTCACCTTGCCCACCAACACTGTAAAACTCCTACTGCCCCCCAGACCGAGGGGTGTTGCAAGCAGGCATCCCTGGTCAGGGGAAGCAAGCTGGAGCAGCGTGGCAGATGGGAGACGTCAGCCCAAGGAAAGCTTCACAGAAGCCTCAGAACACCACAGAAAAGCAGCTAGCGGGCTGTTTTTCAGTCTCGGCTACAATATTTCGTATTGAAGGAATACCAAGCAACTCTCTCAGTCCTGCTGAGCACAGCCAGCTTAGCCAGTACTGAGCTGGAGCTGAAAAAATTTTCAAGAAAACAAGTCTGGACTGTCAACTTTGTGCTGCTCAGAGATTTAAAACTGTTAGTAGAGTGGTTAAGGAGGTAATCTGCCATTGTTAGCTCTTCATTAGTCTTTCTCCAGGGGGCCTATGAATGCGATAAGGAGGTTAGGCATAGGGAATTGCTAGATCTGTGCTAGCTATATATGAAGGTTTCTTTAACAAAATACCACCCTCATTTTATTGCTGTGACACTGCAGCATCCTACAGTCATAATTAAATTACACGCTAGTCTCTTTGAAGTGTTCTTAGTCTACAAATAGAGAAGAATCTTTCTGGAAGGAGTGCTCTGCTCTCCAGAAAGCAGGTGTCACACAGAACGCATGGCTGATGCTCTGACAGGGCTGGACTTGGAAGCAGGAACCCTTTCCTGAAGTCAGAGTTGCAGCTCGCTCTAGTTTATTTCCAAGACTGTGAAAGAGCGGCGTGTTATCTCTCACAACCTATATTAACCTACAAGAAGTACTCACATAAACACTGCAAATACTTTTCAAAGGTACTGCTTACTTTGTAACAGTGAAGCTGGCAGTAAGCAACTGTTCAAATAACTTGCAAAAAAGATCGGAGTTGCTTCACAGAAAGAGTTTTCCAATAAAGTGGGAGCAAAATTGCACTCTTTCTGTTCAAGGGTAGCTTGGACCCATCTTTCAGATGCTTATTAAAGGTGAGTTTTTAATACAAAATTCAATGTAGTCATGTGAAATGGAAAGCCTGGGAGAAGGATCATGTAAAAATTATTTTAATTATTAAAAAATGTTTTAGAATAATAGTTCAGTTCCTAATCCTAGGTAACCAAATTATTTTGCATAACCTTCTAAAATAAGCTATTTTTTTTCTCTTTTTACATTATGTTTGTATTTTCCAGAAAAGAATTAGGTTTGCCATATTTTAAATACAACAAAGAGAGTAACAAAACCCCAGAATCTATGTACCAAAAGTTGATCCACTTAGTAGCTATTTACTAAACTAAGGTTTTGCCTCATTTTTAGTCTAGTTCCTAAGGAAACAAAGCTTTGTAATGACGCTGTCGAAGCATTTGCTGTCAGTCTGTTGGTTCCCTCCGTAATTACTTCTGCACACAGTTTGCTATAAACCAAATCTGGCAGCATGGAAATTGCAAAGTTACTGTGTTTTTACAAACCTTGCAAAAACTAGCAGCTAGGTAGAGAGACTTACTGCTGCTTCTACCAGTGGAGTCACAGGCAAAACTTCCACCTTTTCTGTTTAGCCCCCCAGCAGCCAGAAAGTAAATAGCCAGCTGGTCAGCTGCCTGCAGGCAGCTGCACAGCAGCTACAGTGCCTGCTGCATCTTTCCCCAATCTGTGTGGGAAGTAAAGGCAGGCAGGTGGTGTGGGAAGGAAGGGTGTGTCTTCAGCCCCTCATTTAGAGAATGAGGATGGAAACCAGAGTATAGAAAAAGCCTAGAGAAGACCTCAGGTATTGCCTTTGGGACTAATGGGAGGGTTGGAAGATGCAT